ACGACTGCTACTACCACTACTACTACTACTAATAATACTACTACTACTACTACTACTTCTACTACTACTACTACTACTGCTGCTACTACTACTACTACTACTACTACTACTACTAGTATTACTACTACTACTACTACTGCTACTACTACTACTACTACTACTGCTACTACTACTACTACTACTGCGACGACTACTACGACTACGACTACGACTACGACTACGACTACGACTACGACTACGCCTACGACGACTACTACTACTACTACTACTACTACTACTACTACTACTACTACTACGACTACGACTACGACTACGACTACGACTATTACTACTACTACTACTACTACTTCTACTACTACTGCTACTGCTACTACTACTACTACTACTACTACTACTACTACTACGACGACTACGACTACGACTACGACTACGACTACTACTACTCTTAATACTACGACTAATACTCTCAACGGAAACGCTCGCGATTATTACAGGAATCGTCTACGGCCCGCATAGGAATCGGGCACGATTCACTCAGGAGCCCTATGCGTAGGATTCATATCCGACTCACATGGGAAGCTCGTGCGATTCACAAAGGAGTCGTATACACGGGAGTCGTACAACATTCGCAGTGGACGCGTATACGATTCAAGCAAGATTCGTATACGAACACCATAGAACGTATTCGAAACTGCGAATATCATGGAATTGAAGAAACAAGGACCCATCCTGGATGCGGAATATGGAAAGTGCGAGCGATTGTCCTTAAGCGTACTCATGTAGCTCTGATGGCCCATCTGATGCACGTAGAAGCTATTCTTTCTGTAAGAGCAACCAGATTTGGCCCTAAAGAAAAACACACGCGGCCAGGATTGGCCCCAGTCGGCCAGGATTGGTACCACGTTGCCAGGATTCGTCCTTCAATCGAGAAGTTCCGCCCCCTTTTGGATCGACGCCCTCCAAGATGGTCCCAAGTTGCCCTCCAAGGCTCCCAAGAGGACCCCAAGAAAGCCTAAGACCCCCGAAAGAGCCCCAAGAGATCCCCAAGACCCTCCAACATACCCGCAAGAGGGCCGCGAGAGAACCCCAAGAGGACCCTGAGACGGCCTCCAGTAGACCCCAAAACAGCTACCAGAGTCTTCGTCCCACTCCTCCTCCTCCTCATCGTCCTCTGCCTCATCGGCCTCCTCTTCCTCCTCGCCCTGCTCCTCGTCATGCTTCTCGTCCTCGCCCTGCTCTTCCTCCTCCTCACCCTCCTCCTCGTGTTCCTCCTCCTCCTCCTCGTTCTCGTCCTCGTCATTGGTCAGATCTGGCTGCTCCAGAACTTGATCAACTGAATGCTTTTTACCTTGTCCTGATCAAACCCAAACACCTGGACATCGCTTCTGCATGGGCTGGTGGGGATGCGCGAAGCGTGGAGAACTTGTGCCCGTTTTCTCCTCCCGACGGCAAACACCATAATGCACCAGAACATGACGCGGGAGTACGCCAAGAAACCTGAAACACGCGCACACCCGAATCACGACCTATCACAAGCGGTTCTCATAAATTGTCCGCGGGGCTCCTGCCCTGTGAGACAGCTTGAGGGTACGAGCAGCAATCAACGCCCCATTCAAAAAATCCTGCGCCCGCTGCCAGCTGATGCGGCAACGAACAACAATACTCACAAAACGTACGTTGGTGAACGAAGCTTGGGCATCCGGCAAATGATATGAGAAAGACGCGACTTGACTAGCACGAAATCCACGGCCCTCCCTTGGAGAGCTGGCTGTGAAATAACATCTTTGCTGCGCGCGTGCCCCAAAGCCTCATGTAGGGGTCTCGCTTTGTTTGCGCTGCGCAACACACCTCCTTCTCATCCTTGTACTGCTCCTCCTCAACCGCGCATTTTGGCGCGCATGCACAAACACGCGCACACTTAACACACACTCACGCAAACACACACACACACACTTTCTGGCGTCGCGGCCCCGCGCGGAGCGACAGAACGTAGAGTTATGTTGCCCCCTGTCGTTCTTGAAGACCGCATCCCAGAAATAATTTCCAGCACCCCGAACAACATCGAAACAATGTCGAACGAATATCGCCTCCCAAGGCCCGACACTTGAGAACCGTCTAGTTTCGTTACTTTCTTGGTGCTCGAAATTCTTTGTGGTGGTTGAGGCTCAAGTCGGTTGGAACATCATAGACGTAGAGCAGCAAGCAAGCGCGACTAGGAACGCCCGAGCCCCCAGAGACCGCTTGGGGGGTCGCGCAGCGACCAGGCACACACACACACACACACACACACACACACACGCGCACACGCACACGTGCACGCACGCACGCACGCACACGCACATGTACACATATTTTACGTCGGCGGCTAGGCAAGGGGACTGCGCTTGCGGATACGGCGTTGGCGGGTCAAACGAACGCGAAGTTGGCCGCGGTGCACGAGGGGGGAGGGGGCACGCACACACACACACACAGACACACACACACACACCGTTACCCTCTCTCACACACTCACACACACACACGCAATCACACACACACACACGCACTTTGAACGTCGCAAGCGAAGCGAGAAACAAACCGCACACGGCTTATCGGCTTCTGCTTCCGACGAGCCAGTGCTGCCGGGGCGCCACTGCGTCACAGCGCATCCGCCGAGGGCGGAAGCCCCCCTGCAAAGGGGGGAAGACGAGGGGGGAGTAGGAGAAGGAAGACGAGGGGGGAGGAGGAGGAGGAGGAGGAAGAGGAGGAGGAGGAGGAGGAAGAGACGGAGGAAAAGAAACCGCAGGGCCTTCACGGAACGGAAGGGCAGCGCATGGTCGGCAGCGCGGCGAGACAGGGCGGTGGCGGGGCAAGCGCCGCAGGGGCGGCGGGTGCCGAGCGGGGCGCCAGCTCCTGCGGCCGAGAAGGAGGAGGAGGAGGAGGAGGAGGAGGAGGAGGAGGAGGAGGACGGGAGGGGGGAGGAGGAGGAGAAGGAGGAGGAGGAGGAGGAGGAGGAGGAGGAGGAGGAGGAGGAGGAGGAGGAGGCGGGGGGGCGGGGAGGAGGTCGGCGCCGCTGAGCGTGCGGCGAGGCAGCGGCGACGCAGCGGCGGGCGGGAGCGCGGGCAGGCTGGCAGCGGGCTCGGGAGCGGCAGGGGGCAAGCGGCGGCCACAGCCAAACGGGCGGCGCCAGGGGCACACACACACACACACACACACACGCACGCACGCACGCACGCACGCACGCACGCAGGCGCAGACGCAGGCGCAGGCGCAGGCGCAGGCGCAGGCACAGACGCAGACGCGGACGCGGACGCGGACGCGGACGCGGACGCAGGCGCAGGCACAGACACAGACGCAGGCACACTCACACACACAACACAAACACACACTAACACACCCGCACACACACACACACACACACACACACACACACACACACACACACACACACACACACACACACACACACACACAACACACACAACACACACACACGCACACACACACACACACTCTTGGCGATCGCGGCCCCGCGCGCAGCGACGAGGTGGAACACACACACACACACACACACACGTACACACACACACACACACACACACACACACACACACACGCACCTCACACGGATCGTGCACCATCGGGAGCTGCACATACGGCCTCAAAGGGCGCATCCTGTTCGCACTCCTACGGCCCCAGTGGTCGCGCCCCTGTAGTTTCCTCCCGCACGTTCTGTGACATACCGCCGACGCAAGTCGGGGGTGTGCGATCGCGTCTCAACCTCAACCCCGACATACCCCTCATACAGATCGCACCCCGAATGCAGCTGCACACACGGCCCGAATGCACATATCCCTCTAGCGCTCTAGCGCCCCACTGCCCGTCTCAGCACACTTCTTGCGGTGATCGCAGCGTACCCATCGATAGCTCCACCTGTGGCCTCAATGGGGGAGCTCGCATGCTCCTGCCCGCCCATTTCGGCGCCCCCGTCACGCCCGGATGGTACCCTGTGGGGAGCTCCATCGACGGTCTCCGCAGGGGAGCTCGCATGCGATCCCCCGCCCATGTGGACACACCCCTCACACGGATCGTGCACCATCGGGATCTCCACCTGCGACCACAGCAGGCGCGTCCCTGCGGCGTCCGCATGCCCAGCATGACCCCAAGAAAGCCTCCAGAGGTCCAGGGACGTCCCAAGACGCCACCCACGTCGGTTGGCCCACAGAGGCCCCATCAATGTTGGCAGAGACAGCCTACAGGTTGCTCCCAGAGGCCCCAAGATGACACCCTGAGGCTCCCAGATGGCGCAGAGAGCGTTAAAGTGGTCAAGATACGGTCCCGGGATGGTCCCGCCTGATGGAACGGCGGCAGTGGGCGCAGCCCCTCAAATGCAGAGCCCGCACGCGGACCGTGGTGAGACCGGCATACGGATAAGAGAGAAGCCCAGGTGCAGGGAGCAGGTCTGGGGCGACAGGCTTGGCAGAGCGCGGAGGGGGAGGATATGGAGGAGGCGGGGGGAGGAGGAGGACGAGGAGGAGTAGGAGGAACTTAAAGCCACAGCTTCACGCCCAGGTTGGTCCAACGTGAAAGGAGGAGGAGCAAGGGGAGGAGGAGGAGGAGGAGGAGGAGGAGGAGGAGGAGGAGGAGGAGGAGGAGGAGAGGAGGAGGAGGAGGAGGAGGAGGAGGAGGAGAGGAGGGGGATGAGGAGGAGGAGGAGGAGGAGGAGGAGGAGGAGGAGGAGGATGATGCCCGCGGGGTAAGGCAGCTGTGTCGATCCACAACCACTCCCGCGCGCGCCCCCGCGCGCGCTCTCGCCTCGGGAGGAGGAGGAGGAGGAGGAGGAGGAGGAGGAGGAGGAGGAGGAGGAGGAGGAGGAGGGGGAGGGAGAGGAAGGGGAGGTCGACACTGCGCCGAGACATGCCTGATATAGCGCGGCGGTCCTGCAGACTCGGCAAACCCGCGCCGTGCCGAGCGCCGGGCGGATCCAAGAACAGGCTGCGCGGAGCTGCCCCGCGAGCCCGTCACGCCTCCTGCGGGGCGCGGATGTGGTAACAGCCGTCCCTTCTCGGGCTGTCGAGCTTGGTGTACACCACCTGCCACAACTGGCACCGCCGCCTCTCGAACGCCGCCGCGCCCGCGGCGAGGTAGTACTCCCACATGCGCCTCTCGCTGGCGGGCGTGTCCTCCAGCCCCTTCCAGTCTCGCAGGTTGTCGAGCCACCCGCGGCAGGTCTGCACGTAGCCCTTGCCGAAGCAGTGCAGGTCCTCCAGGTGCCAGCGGTCGCTGTACTCCTGCGGGGGGAGGCCGGAGAGCCGCAGCACCCTGAGATCCGACGTCGCAGGAAAAGCACAATGTCATGGGAAAACGCGATCGTTGCCCTCGACCCCATCTTTCCGTTCAAGGGGGCCCAGGACACAAATAAATATACACAAATAAAATAATTCCCCATATTTTCCCATATTTTCTGGGTTTTTGTCTTCCCGCCCAATTCCCATATTTTCCCATATTTTCTGGGGGATCGACGATTAATTGTGTCTGTGTGTTTTTTCTCCTCCTGATCCGTGTCATTCCTCGAGCTGGGGCGATCCGTGAGGGTCCGGGGGCCCGCAACCGGGCGGAAACGCCCGCTGTGACAGAGTTGCAACGCCAGGGTTTCAGGGCAGCTCCACACGACGGTCTCAGAGCTGGTGCCAGCGTTTTTCGTTCTCGTTCTGTGGTCGTCTTCCTTCGTTCTGTCTTCAGTCTGTCTTTGCTGCGAGACGAGACCAGACTGGAAACGGGCCACGAAATCGCCAAAACGCAGTTTAATTCGAGCCCTGGGTGGCACTGAGCGGCCTCTCTCTCTCTCTTGAGAGGAAGTAGAGCTGCTGAGAGAAAAACACTTCGCCTCCAGGTTCCAGCGGCCGCTGCGCTCCTGAGTGAGGTCGGAAATCCGCGGCAGCTCCACGCCGGGGAAGATGTACTTGTTGATGAAGCTGCCGTGGTTCCAGTCGGCCCGCAGGGCGGAGCCCATGGTGTGGATGAGCATGATGCCGTCGTCGTTCAGCAGCTCGTAGCACTTGTCGAAGTAAGCCCCGTAGTTGTTTCTGCCAACGTGCTCGAACATGCCACAAGAATCCGTCGATCCCTGTTCGGTGCTGGAGGCGCGGGGGACGAACGCCTGACTCAAAGCGCATCCTTGGTCTGCCCTCCCAAATACACTTCCTCTACATGCCTTGCAAGACGGCATTCGAAAGCTTCATATGTGCCGAGGAGGCCCGCCGGGCATCAAAATTAGCTCACCTGCCTAGCTCAATGGCGCGGGGGAATGGAGGGGGGGAGGGGGGGGGGAGGAGGGAGGGGGGGAAAGAACGGGGAAACAAGAGGGACGGGAACGGGGACGGGGACGCAGGCGCGGTCAGGACTTCGAGTCCAGCTAGCGTCGCGATATTTGACTACCACAGAGGGTACGAGGGGTGCGGGGGGCTAGTCAAGACGTGCCGCGAGGCGCCCAGGATAGATGCGGTCGAACTTGCCCTCGATGTCTCGGTAGTCGCAGATATTGTACTCTATGTTTGGGTGGGACTTGTGCTCCATCGCCCAGGCCCTCTGATCCTCGGACAGCGTGAAGCCCGAAACGTGGACCCCGTACTTTGACGCCAGGTAGTGCGCGGTGACACCAAAGCCGAAGCCGATCTCGCAGACCCGCATGCCCGGCTTCAGGTCGAGCTTGGTGGCGATCAGGTCGATCTTTGCCCACTCGGCCTCATCCAATGTCATGCTGGGTTTATCCGCCACGGTGCCCTCTGCACGATGTCACTTGTCTGTTAAGGTCTTTGTCGTTTTCCAAGGGTGCTTCAATCCTCTCCAAGAGTGCGGCCCTAAGAGTTCGCCCCACCAATACGGGCCAAGGGAGGTCCAAAACGACCTCACGAGACCTGACCAAACTTCCCCAAGACCAGCTACAAAGCAAACACAAACAACACAAGTCCAAGAAGTTCTCAAGACAGTCCAAGAGGCCTCGTGAAGCCCCCGAAAGGCGAACAAGGAGGCCTCCAGTGCGGCCCTAGAACCCCCCAACCAACACAGACAAATTGAGGGTCCGTGGTGTGTGTCGCTTCAGAAACCGATGGGCGTAACACGGGTTCAAGCAGGCCGCTGAGCCTGAAGACGACCACAGAAGGCCTCAACAAACCCTCACGAAGGCTCAGCAACCCCCTACGACTGCCCCATACAGCCCAGGAAAGATCTGGTACAACCTCGAAACCAAACCAAACGACCTCAAATGACTCCATGCAACCGCTTCGGGAACGCTCGGTAACATCCTTGCGCCCAACAGGGTCCCGACATGCCCAGTAGACCCCAAATCCACTGAGGCCCCCAGGTTTCCCGAAGGAAGACCCTAATAAGCCTCCAAGAATCATTCGCGAGGGAGGGAAAGGGTGAGGAGGAAAACGAGACAATTAGGGGGCCACATGCGAACCCTACCCCTACCCCCCACGAGTTCTGAGGGGGAGGGTGGGGTTCACTTCGTTCGGGAGCCTTCGAGCGAAGTGAACCCCATCATCCCCCTCAGAAATCGTGGGGGGTAGTGGTAGGGTTCGCATGTGGCCACCTAAGAACGAGGCTGCAAACGAAGAGCGGATACTTTAGATCCGCGCCAGTTCGGACAGGGCACCGCACTGCAGCATGTGTACACTGGTCATTATCCTGTTCCCTCCTCCTCCTCCTCCTCCTCCTCCTCCTCCTCCTCCTCCCTACTCCCTCCTACTCCCTCCTCTTCCTCCTCCTCCCTCCTCCTCTCCTCCTCCTCCTCCCTCCTCCTCCTCCTCCTCCTCCTCCTCCTCCTCCTCCTCCTCCTCCTCCTCCTCCTCATTGCTACGCTGCTGCACTGACAAAATGGCGGGGTATGCCGCAGGCGACTGGCTAGAAGTACCCGCACGTGTACTGCATCGTCTCTCCGAGCATCTTCTCGTAGAGCTTCGGGTTGTCCAGGGTATCGTACGTGTTCTCTATGTTTTCCTTTGCTCCAGTCTTCGAGTTGTTTGGGAACAGCTTCCATTTCAGAGCCCCCCAGGTGAGGCTACCAAGCAAGGGCAGCGCGCGCCAACCGAGGTCTAACGAGCGCTGCTCCACGAGGACCGTCAGCTTGAGCATCTCCCAAATCATCCGTTCCAAGTTGTCAGTCTCCCACTCACCGTCCATGTACGATTCGCCAAAGCCGACCCCGCCCTGGGTCAGCATCCGCTCGAACACCCTGTCAGATTTCAGGACGAGCTTGACAGGAGGGAGCTTGTCATCGTCAACGCAGTACCAATGCACCTCCTCGCTGGTGCTCGCGGAGGGGACGATGTTTGACAGTGCCTCCTCAGGCCCGGTCCCAAGCCCTCCCGGAGGCACGTCCTTAGCGTCGATGATCTGCACGTTCGTGTGCTCCTCTCGCGGAAGATCCTCACTGCAACAGCCTGTCCACCTCCCCTCGTCCCGCCCTCCGTGCCACCCCCTTTCCCAACGAGTGGGGCTTTGTCCCTCCCCTCTGCTAGGTCGCATTCTTCCATCTCCTCGTCTCCTCCTTCTCCCCTGGAAGGTAGCTTGGGGAAGCCACTGCCGGCCCACCTGCCAAGAGAGAGCACGGCGCAGACAGCTCTGGGGTCGGGGTGTTCTTGGACCGCGGGCTCCGAGCTGATCGTGGCGCCCCCCTGCCGGCCCAGGGTACCTCTGTTGAAGGGGCCCGAGGACACACCAATGAATACACACAAATAAAACTATTCCCCCGATTTTCCCATATGATCTGGGTGCTTGTCTTCCCCCCCCCCCTTCCCATAGTTTCCCCAAAAACCTGGGGAATCGGCGATTCAGGGTGTCGGTGTGTGTTTTTGTCCCTCCTGATATGCGCTGCTCTCCGTCCTCGGCGTTGGCTCACGACCTTTGACGCCGGGTGTGGTCGGACGCAGAGGGGCATGCTATAGTATCATGCGCCCCCTCGTGGAGGCGCAGATCCGAACCACACATTTACCCACACTCCAACATCACAGAGAACAGGGCATGAACATAAACGTTCGACGGTTCGCGCGGACTTCTTGTATCCGCGCTGTGCCCCCCTCCCTGTCGCGCGGAGCGCTCCAGGGGCGGCGTAGGCGCCGCCAGGGGGGGCCCAGCGCGGATCCAAGAAATCCGCGCGGACCGCCGGACATTTATGCTCATGCCCTCTTTCTTCTTCGACACAAGTCAGCATATCGTTACCCGGGCGGTGCGGCCAGACAGCGCCCGCCACCAAGCCTGTACCACAAGATGTTTGTTGAGCGCGCCAGTCGCCCCTGTGGGTCCCACGCACACTTAGCAGAAACATGTCTGGGTGATGCCGATCGTTGATCCACTCCCGGGGCAAAATCTACGATCCGAAATCGGATTTCGGATCGCGGATTTCGTCTCAGGGACGGATTTTCGGATCCGACATCGGATCTTCGGATTACCATTCACGATCTCCGCTGCGGGATAGCGGATTTACTCCGCTATCAAGCAGCGGAGATCGTCAACGTCGGCATGGCTCAAGCCGCCAATGGCCTTCAGCCTTGAGCGCCGGCGTTGGCGTCGCCATCCTGCCGACGCGACGGGAACCTGCCGTGCCGGCCTCCTGCTTCTCGCGGCGCAAAGGGCGGAGGACGCGACGGCGCGAGCATCCAAGCGCAATGAGTGGTAGAACAACAAGCTAGCGCATGCCGCAGCGGGAAGTGCGGGCCTGCTCCACCGCCTCAGCAGGCCGGTGCCGACGTGGCAGCCGCGCCTCACGCCAGGCCCAACGGCCTCGGCGAACCCGTTGCGAGACTCGGCGGCGGCGCTGGCGGACTGGGCTAGGGTGTGGCGGGTCGACGAGCCTGCGCAGCAGCAGGCCAAGCCGTGGCTCACGTGCACCCGAGACCCACTCCCGCGCTTCGAGGAGGGTGCGCTGCGGGCGGTGGCGAGGCGCCTCAAGAAGCGCACGAGCATCGGGGTCGAGCGCTAGCACCCAGGCATGTTGGACGGCATCTGCGACGCAGGGAAGCGAGGGGTGCCGCACGTCCTCCAGCAGGTGAAGGGACCGCGGTACCGCTAACCTGGCCGAAGCAGGTAAACGCCATCATCTCGTTGCGCGTCCCTGAGGGGCCCGCCTTCAGGGCTTATTTCTCCACCCCCCATGCAGGTCACCTCCCACTCCCAGACCCCCGACGTCATGATTTCTTCATGACGTCGACCCCCAGATTTCTCGACCAATTCTCGGGGACCGATTTCTTGTCCTGAGTCGTTTTTTGCCGGTCCCGAGGCCCTCTGAGGGCCCCCAGAGGCTGAAAATAACAGAAAGCCCCCCGTCGTGATTTCTGCATGACCCGAGGGTGTCTGGCTGGTCACCCCGGTCCGTGTCCAGGAGCAGTTTCGGGCGCCGTCCCATGCGCGCCCTGAGGGCGCAACAACCAACTGAAGCGGGAGAGGGCTTAATTCCGGCATGTCCTCCTGCACGGGGGATGTTGGACGAACAATGACAGCTAGTCAAAAAATACCCCAGAACAGCCAACAAACAATCGAAACATCTGAACATATCCAACAACAGCAAATAATACAACAAACCGTCCCCAGGTTTTTTGTTGTTCGGAGCCGCTCAGAACCCCATGTTGGTTCCGATGCTGACGGCATGATCTCTGAAGCCTGCCTTCTGCTACCAAAGCGCACATGGGCAGGAGTCCAACATAAACAAGTCTGCACGGCGGACTTCGGCAGCCGGCGACGTCTACGAACGCACGGACTGCTTTGGCGTGCTCCTCCAGTGGGGGGGCGTGCCCGACCTGGGGCAGGGCCTCGGACGGCCGTTGGGGGGGCGGGCTCGGCGGCCCCCGGGACGTGCGCGCGCGGCGCCCGGGGCCGCCGCGGTGACGACGCGGGGGGCCCTGGCGCGGAGGCGGCGGTGGCGGCCCTCGTGGGCCTCGTCCGTGGAGTTACGTCGGGCACGTCCCTCGACAGGAGGAAGATGCCCGAGTAGGCAAAAAATAGTCAGGGGGCGATGTTTCGACTATTTTTTAAATGATTTCTGGGATATTCGTGGACTCGTTTTCAATTGTCGTCCGAAATCTCTCTGCAGGAGGACATGCCCGACCTAAGCGTAGAGGGCGGAAGATCCCACCCCCATAATTATCACCCCGACGCGCGAAGCCGTTTAGCAAACGCACCCACAGAAATCGAACAGGGCAGGGCTTTTAGTACACGCCCAGGGCCGTTTAGCAAACGCCAGTTGTCGGGTCCGAGTGGTTTTGCCTCACTTGAGTCCGGGCCTTCGAGCGAGTGCCAGTGGTCCGCTCGTCTTGGCGGCGAGCGCGGGGGGGGGGGAAGCGAGAAGGGGGAGGCCTTCTCGGAAGGTGGCGGGACTTCTCAGACCTCCCTCGCGCCTTCTGATAGGTTTTTTCTGTGTCTCCGGGGGAGGCTTAGAACACTGCTCGGAAGGCCAGGGGACTTGCGAGACTTCTGAGCAGGCCCGCCCCTTCTCGCATCCCCGCCTCGCTCGCCGCCGATCGTGGGAGACGGGGCTTCGTTGGCAGTTCCAAAGGGAGATCCGCCGATCGTTGGAGGCGGGGCTCCGTTGGCAGCTCCACAGGGAGATCCTGGCGGTGGCCGTGTCGATCCTCCCCGGGGCGCGCGCGCTGGTGGCGGAGGGTCTTCGGGGCGGGCCTGGAGCAGTCGAGCGTCCACGGCTGCAGGTGGGCCCGGGGACAGCGGAGGCGAAGCTGCTGGCCCTGGAGAGGGGGCCGGAGGCCGCGCGGCGACGAGGCGGAGTGGGTGGAGCCTCCCAGCGCCCTGCCGCGGGCCGCCGCGGGCCGAGCAGGGGGGACCCGTGGGCGGCGTGGGAGAACGACCTCGGCGCAGCGATCCTGCAGACCGCCCGGAGGAGGCTGCAGACCGAGGCGGCCACGGAGCTCCTGGCAGGCAGCGGTGCGGGGCCCCGCAGCGGCGGTGCCCGGGTCGCTGACGCGCGCGGGGTGACCTGGCCAGCCTGGAGTGCCTGCCCTCACCAAGGGTGCGCTGGAGCTGCAGCGCCACGCCGTGTGCCCCGGTGGGCGGCCAGGCCATGCAGAACGAGGACCTGGAGCGGCGCCCGCGGCCCGCGGGGGGCGCGCACGAGGGAGGCGGACCAGTCGCGGCCAGCCCTCGCTGGTCTGCCCGCCTGGCCCCGCCCCCTGTGCGGCGCGGCTGGCGCGCGCGGGTCGGCCTGCTCGGGCGCAGGGTCGCGCGCGATGGGCGCCGGAGGCTGGGCGGCGGTGCCTCGGGCGTGCTGCGGCGTGGCTGGTGCGACTGTCCGGCGCGCCCAGCTGCGGCGCCAACGCATTTCGGGGAGACGTGAGGCTGTGGGCCAGGGGCAGAGGCGCGGGTTCCAGGAAGGTCGCTGCGAACGGCCGCTGGAAGGAGAAAGTGTGAGCATCCAGAGAAGCCTATTCCCTGACCGCACCCTAGGCCAACCACACCTCCAGGAAACCGCGAGCGTTGGAGCTCGCCGTCGCCATCGAACCGCCTGGGCGCAGGAGCAGGGGGAGCAGGAAGCTGAGAGGTTCGAGCATGGCATGGTACCGTCGCTGGCATGCCACTCTCCCTGTACGGGCCGCCCGACGGCCAGCCGAGAGGCACCCTGCTCCAGCATGGCAGCGCTTTCCGTCCAGAGGTGCCCGAGATGGCCTGCGCCGGATAGACGAGCGCCCGCTGTGGACATCTCGAGGCTGCGGCGCCTGGGCCCGTTCCGGGTGCGCCGAAGAGGGGGCCCAGGAAAGGAGGGGGGCCAGCACATCGTGGCCCGAGGCAAGACGAAGGGGGGGGGCGTGAAACCTGGGAGATCTCATCGTCCAGGTCGTGATAAGAGCCACACGCTCACACACTCTGGTGCGCACCCCCTCTTTCGGGAGCATGCTGACATGGATTAGGGATCCATGGATGTGGTGCGCGGTCGCCAGACATTGTGCCAACGGCGCCCGACTTGGTGGCGGAGCGCGTCGTTTCGTCGACTGCGAGGACTCGGCTTGAGCCTCCAGGGTGGGCCTGGGAGTGGCGCAAACGGAACCATGGAAAAGGTGAGCCCTGGGCGTGCCAGAAGAAAAACAAAACTGCATAGACATAAACTGTTGGCGCTCCGCGCGGACTTCTGGGATCTGCGCTGGACCCCTCTCCCTGGCGCGCGGAGCGCGCCAAGGGCGGCGCCAGAGGCGCCGCCAGGAGGGGCCCAGCGCGGATCCAAGAAATCCGCGCGGAGCGCCAAAAGTTTATGTTCATGGCGCTTTTCCTTCTCCGATATACAATTCTGTTGTTCCCATCGCCCTTACGGACCACATCCAAGAACCAAAATCGAGCACGCAGACACGGAAGCCTTCTCAGAAGATGCGATGCCTTCTGAGAAGTCCCGCCGCCGTCTGAGAAGGCCTTCTCCTTCTCACACCTCGCCCCTCGCTCGCTGACGAGCTGTGGTTGGTCTGCGGCGTCCTCGATCAGCTCCCGCAGCGCCTCGTCGCCTCTGGGCCGCAGACACCAGGGGGGGATGGCTTGAAGGGGGGGAGGAGGAGGAGGAGGAGGAGGAGGAGGAGGAGGAGGAGGAGGAGGAGGAGGAGGAGGAGGAGGAGGAGGAGGAGGAGGAGGAGGAGGAGGAGGAGGAGGAGGAGGAATGACGTCGAGCAAGAGTCCAAGCACGGACCCCTGGAGGAGGAGGAGGAGGAGGAGGAGGAGGAGGAGGAGGAGGAGGAGGCGGAGGCGGAGGCGGAGGAGGAGGATAGAGCAGCGAATCGGCCGCGTGCAGGTGGCTTCCCCGGCGCCTGGAGACGCGCATCCGCCAGCGCGCCGCAAGGCACGAACACGAAATGCCATGAGGCCCCTTGCAGTCCTCATTCCTTTTGGTCCTCAGGATTGCATGCTCAAAGGCCTGGACCCAAAATTCTCAAATGTTGCGGGGGGGTCCCTGCCTCCCGCGTCTCTGCGGCGATTCCCGCACGACTCTTTCGGACGGGCCAAGGCCCCGAGACAGGCACAATGGCGGGATGGGCCGAAGGCCAATAGACCTGGGCCGGCACGGAAACGGAAAGAGCGCTTCAACAACGTGACCGAAATTACTCACACCACCGTTCGTACTGGGAGCCTTGGCGTTGAGAGCTTGTTTCGTCACCCCGCGCTCTTGGGAGCCTTGGTGTTCAGAGATTGTTGCGTTGCCGCCCGTTCCTGAGCCTTGGCTGGGCCTTGGTGTAAGGAACTTGTTACGTCATCGCTCCCTGCTGGGAGCCTTGGTCTTATCAGCTTGTTTACGTCACCGTTCGCTCTTGGGAGCCTTGGTGTGAAGAGCATTTTGCGTTACCGATCGCTCTTTATTTGGCTTCTGTGAGCCTTCTTGGGAGTCCTATTGCGGCCCTTTTTGAGCCCCTTTGGGGGCCTCTTGGGGGCCTCTTGGGGCTTCTTGGGGGTCTGTGGGGGCCTCCTGGGAGCGTCTTGGGGCGAAAGGCTACACTTTCGGGTTCGTGGTCCCCCTTCTGGGGCTGTCTTGGGGCCCTCTTGGGCCGTCTTGGGCGCCTTTTGGGCCGTCTTTGCGCCCTCTTGGGCCGTTTTGGGGGCCTCTTGGGAGCCTCTGGGGCCGTCTTGGGGCGGTCTTGGGGGCCTCTGGGACTGTCTGCAACGCCGTGGAAGCCGAAAGGCCGTGCATGCTAAAAATGTACGTTTTCCAATCGGAAATCTATGATTTTGGCCTCTTGGGGCCCTCCTGGGACGCCTCCTGGGACGCCTCTTGGGCGCCTCCTGGGGCGTCTTGGGGCCGTCTTGGGCGATCTTGGACTCTCTTGGCCGTCGTGAGGGTATCTTCGGCCGTCTTGGAGCCGCCTTGGACCCCTCTTGGACCTTCTAGAGCGCCCAAGACGGCCCAAGAAGCGCCCAAGAGGCCTCCAAGACGCCCCAAGCGGCCATTAACACGCAAATGCGCACCCCTCCCCCCCTCTGCACTCCCCCTAAGGGGCTTCGCCCACACCAAAACGTCATCACTTGCACCTCGCTCTTTCCGTTACCTGGGCCGGCACAGAAACGGAAAGAGCGCTTCAGAAACAGAAACCGAAATTACTCACACCACCGTTCGTACTGGGAGCCCTGGCGTGGAGAGCTTGTTTCGTCACCCCGCGCTCTTGGGAGCCTTGGGGTTCAGAGATTGTTGCGTTGCCGCCCGTTCCTGAGCCTTGGCTGGGCCTTGGTGTAAGGAACTTGTTACGTCACCGCTCTCTGCTGGGAGCCTTGGTCTTATCAGCTTGTTTACGTCATGGTTCGCTCCTGGGAGCCTTGGTGTGAAGAGCATTTTGCGGTACCGATCGCTCTTTATTTGGCGTCTCTGGGCCTTCTTGGGAGTCCTATTGCGGCCCTTTTTGGGGCCCTTTTGGGGGCCTCTTGGGGATTCTTGGGGGGCTCTTGGGGCCTCCTGGGAGCGTCTTGGGGCGAAAGGCTAGACTGTTTGGTTCGTAGTCCCCTTCTCGAGGCCGTTTTGGGGCTCTCGTGGGCCGTCCTGGGCGCATTTTGGGCCTTGGAGCCCTCTCGGGCCGTTTTGGGGGCCTCTTGGGAGCCTCTTGGGCCGTCTTGGAGCGGTTTGGGGGGCCTCTTGGGCCGTCGTTAACGCCGTGAAAGCCGAAAAGCCGCATATGCTAAAAATGTATGTTTCCCGATGGAAAATCAATGATGTTGGCCTCCTGGGGCCTCTTGGGGGGCCTCTTGGGGCCTTCTGGCAGCTTCTTGGGGCGAAAGGCTAGACTTTTCGGTTCGTGGTCCGCCCTCTTGGGTCGTCTTGGGCGCCTCTTGGGCCGTCTTGGGGCCCTCTCGGGCCGTTTTGGGTGCCTCTTGGGAGCCTCTTGGGCCGTCCTGGGGCGGTTTGGGGGGCCTCTTGGGCCGTCGTCGACGCCGTGGAGGCCGAATAGTCGCGTATGCTCAGACATGCACGTTTTCCCAAGGAAAATTCATGATTTTGCCTTCTTGGGGCCCTCTTGGGGCGCCCATCGGGCGCCTCTTGAGGCGTCTTGGAGGCCTCTTGGGCCGTCTTGGGCGGTCTTGGGATCTCTTGGAGCGCTCTTGGGCCGTGTTAGACGTATCTTGGGCCATTTGGGGCGCCTCTGACGGTCCAAGAAGCGCCCAAGAGGCCTCAAAGACGCCCCGAGCGTCCATTAGACCGCATCCCTCCCCGCCTCCCCCCTCCCCTGGACCCCTCCCTTGAGGGCGTCGCCCAAACACAACGTCATCACTCGTACCTCGCTCTTTCCGTTACCTGGGCCGGCACGGGAACGGAAAGAGCGGACCAAAAACTTGCCCGAGATGGCTCGTGAAGAGTTGTTACGTCGCCGCTCTCCGTTGGGAGCCCTGGTGTTCAGAGACTTTTACATTGCCGCTCGCCCTTGGGAGCCTTGGTGTGACGAGCTTTTTACGCCAATGCGCTCTGGGGAGCCTTGGTGTCAAGAGCTTGTTACGTCACCGCTTGCTGATGGGAGCCAGGGTGTTCTTGAGCGTCTCTTGGGCCTCGTCGGAGTCTTCTTGGGGTCCTTTGGAGCCCTTGTGGAGCCCTTTGAAGGAATTTTTGGACAGTCTTGAGGCTCTATTGGGGCCGTCTTGGGGCGTCTTGGAGCCCTCTTGGGCCGTCTTGGGGATCTCTTGGGGCCCTCTCGGGGCCCCCTTGGGGCCGTCTTGGGAGCCTCTTTGGGCCCTCGTGGGGCTCTCTTAGAGCAGTCTTGGGGCCTTCTTGGGCCGTCTTGGGGCCCTTTGGGCAGTTTTGGGCCCTCTGGGGCCGTCTTGGGGCCCTTTCGTGGGCCTCTTGGGCCGTCATTGGGGCGATCTTTGGAGCCTCTTGGGCTGCTTTTGACCGTTCTCGGCCCGAAAAGGCAAGAGCACCAACACCCTGCAAAAACCATACAGAAACCAATGTGTTTTGCTTCTGGGGGCCCTATCGGGGGTCCTCTTGAGGCTCTCTTGGGCTGTCTGGAGGCCATCTGAAGCTCTCTTGGGGCCGTCTTGGTGCCCTCTTGGGTTGTCTTGGTGCCCTCTTGGACCGTCCTGGGGCCCTTGGGCCGCGTCATTCGAAAAAAATACCAGGAAACGGGCCATGGGAGCCGCCCAGGAGCCGCTTCATTCAAACAAATCGAAGGAGGCGGCCCCTGGGCGGTGATTAGATCCGATACTTCTGGCCCACGCCCCTCCCCTGGACCCCTCCCTAGAGGGCGTCGCCCAAACACAACGTCATCACTCGTACCTCGCTCTTTCCGTTACCTGGGCCGGCACGGGAACGGAAAGAGCGGACCAAAAACTTGCCCGAGATGGCTCCTGGCACCGTTCGCTCTGGGGAGCCTTGGCATCGCTCTCTGTTGGGAGCCTGGTGTTCAGAGACTTTTACGTTGCCGCTTGCTCTTGGGAGCCTTGCTGTTCAGAGCTCTTTACGTCTCTGCGCTCTTAGGAGCCTTGTTGTTCAGAGCTTGTTACGTCACCTCTCACTGTGGGAAGCCATGGTGTTCTTGGCGTCCATTGGGCTTCTTGGGAGATTTTTGGAGGCCCCTTGGGAAAGTTTTGGAGCTCTTGGGCCGTCTTGGAGCCAGCCCAATCCCTACACCCAAACAGCCCAGTCCCCACACCGCCTCTTCGGGCCCTCTTGGGAGCCTCTTGGGGCCATCTTGGTGCTCTCGTGGGGCCGTCTTGGGGCCCTCTGGGGCTGATTTGGGGCCCTCTTGGGCCGTCTGAGAGCCCTCTTGGACTGTTTTCGGCCCCTTTGGGGGGCCTCTAGGGCCGTCTTGGGACGAGCTTTGGGGCCTCGTGGGCCGTCTGGGGCCCGAAAAAGGCCAGAACCCCAACAATCTTAAAAAACCTTAAGCCAAAAACGACGCGTTTGGCCTCCTGAAGCCCTCTCGGCGCCCTCTTGAGAGCCGTTTTGGGGTTCTTGGGCCGTCTTGGGGTCAGCTCAGTCCCCACACCCAAGCAGCAGTCCCCACACCGACTCTTCGGGCCCCCTAAGGAATATTTGTTTTTTGTTGTTCCTGCCGGCGCTGGCTGCGGCATGTTCTGCCGCAGCGGCGCAGCTTCTCCAGGGGCGCTACAGTGTCCGCCGAAAAGGCTCGCAGCAGCTGGTCCGTAGAACAACCTCTGCTCTGCGGCTAAATGTTCGCGCCGGGCGCTGCGACGGGGGGGCTCCCCATCGACAGATTGCGCCGCCCAGTGCCCATCAATCGTGGAGGCGCTGCCTGCGCGACAGCGGAGTGGTATAATGCCTGCTCGTTGGTGCGAAAATCCGCACATGAGATTATAAAAACGCAACGGAATAAAACATCTGGTGCCGCGGACACCAGACGCCTTCATCCGCCACGAGGCCCCCTCTGGCGGCAGCCCAGAGCTTAGAAAAGGAGCGCGCCAGGGCCCTTTTCCAGAGGGTCGATGGCTTGCCGCCCCCAGTCTCTCCCGATCCCCACCTTCACAGCCCTGCGCAGCCTTACGGGTCCATCCTGCCGTGCAGTCGGGATCCTATGGA